TACTGCTAATCCTATTACTGCAATTAATCCCCTACCACCCTGAAACCGATAGTTGTGATGGTCAAGCAAAAGTATCTCTAACTGCACGCTCAAAAAAGGAATAAAAGGCAGCAACAACAGTTTCCAAACACAGTGGCACGCAGAGGCATCCGGTCATACACAATCCCCACCACAGTACAGCCGCCGAAACAAGGCCGCGCAGACGCAATAAAGCCAGTGACCCCATCGCCCTCCCACCACCCACACAGCCCCACACAGCCACCGTGCCGAGTGGCGGAATCTCGGCAAAAAGCCACATGACCACTGGCACCGCTCCTGTTACCGAATGGCTGCATCACAGGGCGATCCCGATGCCGTGCACGACACACAAGAGCCGAGGCAGACCACGTGGCAGCGATACGACCGCCAGCCATCAAGCGCGTCCGAGAGGCGTTGGTGTTGGTGTTGCGTAAGTGGAGTGGAGAGCTCGCCGATCGCCAGCAGTCAAAACGTCGTTTCCAGTTCACGCGAGTCGGCATTGCGCAGCAAGCAGCGGCACCATACACGCACGGCATACACAACAAAGGAAAAATAAAGAAGCACGGCGGCGGCACTCAAACACGGGGAAAAAGAGCCCACACCGATTGCACATTCCGATCGGCTCACAGACATCCGGATGGTGGTCGCGCCGCTGCTCTGCGGTGCGTGTGGTGTGTGACTGCAGTGGACAGAGGGGATGATGAGAGGGGTGGGAGACGCAGTGCGGCACACATCCATCTCGGCTAACTGTAACACCGGTGACGTCTTCCCGTCAGATCGCCTGCAGCAAAGACCGTCGCCGTCAGCAGCGGTCGGTGCCTTCCCTCTCCTACGGGGGCGCAACTGCACCGACGCCGTCGCTCGTCTCCTCCTTCACCAACACAACGAGGGAGCAACGGCAAAAGATGAGACACGCACGGCAGGCGCACAGTCGCAGAATCCCACCGATGCCGCCATGGCCAAACAAGATTAGCTGCAAGGCGCAAAAAGAAGAATAAACACCCCACCAAACGCTTTGGCGCCACGTGGAAGCACCGCAACCGACACACAAAGCGAAACACCGTGAAGCAGGCACCAAAACCAAAGCTCCTCCAACAAATTCATCGTGAAGCAAAAAAAAAAAAAACACGCAAACTGAAAAACAACAATGCCGGTGCAGAGGCAATAAATGGTTGTGGTGCGCAGCAGCCGTGGCATCGCGCCCCTCCCTCATCAAACGGCACCGCACCACAACGCAGCGTAACGACAGCGTGCAATGACGACGATTGAGTAGCACACACAAAGCGGCATAAACCTTTCATCCCGCACTCGCTCAAATTTACTCTCTCAGTATTTACTGCCAACAGCACAGGAAAGAACACGGAAGGGGACTGTCATACCATCCACCTTCTGCCCACAACAGATCCTCCCCATCCTCCTCCTCGCCACGCCCTGGGTGCCGCAAAACGCCGTCAAGCAAAGCCACGTGTATGAAAGTCCTCAATGCACAGGGCGGTGCTGGCAGCCACGCACGCTCACTCCCCCGCACACATCCTCTCCCACAACCTTCCCATACACAAAAGGGTAAAGAAATGGAGAAAAGAGGCCCGCCGCACAATGCACGCAGAAGCACCGCCATCCAATTCGCACCGCAAGAAAGAGCCATGCGCACCACACATACACGGCCACAACGAGAGGGACGGAGCGCACCCAAGTCCACGACGCTGCACTTTACTTCTCTCTTCCCCGACAAATTGGAATTACGCCCCACAGCAGGTCGTGGCGAGTGGCGTCCCACACCCACAGTGAGGCACGGCGCACACCATCCGCTCCCATCCGAGTGCACTCAGCAGGCCGGCGCCCAGTCACCCTCGTACCACCGCAATGGGAACCAAAAAAAATCGTCGTCGCGGACCATCGATGCCTCTAGCAGAAAAAGAAATAAAATGAGGGCATGTCAACAGCACAGCCAACAGAGAGACACTCAACGGGACAATTAAGCACTCAGCACCAGTGAACACCGCAAGGAAAAAAAAATGAACCGCAGCGATTTACCAAAAACCAAAAAAAAAGGGTGAAAGTCCAGAAGAACTCCCAAAATACTTAAAAAAGAAAAATTTGATTCGGAA